AAAAATTGCTTTCGGGTTGCTAAGCCGAGGTTAGTTGTTAAGCTGAATTGCACCCCGTTTTACGACTCTTTTTTGCCAAGGTCGTTAAGCGCGTTGCCGCAATTAAATAGCTTAAATAAATAAATTAAATAAATACATGAAATGAAATGTCGTGAATCGAATCCAGCTTCCCTCACCGGTTTTTGCTTCTCGGACATCCGCCGGGGGGAGGTCACAAAAAACTGACCGGTGCAACCGTACATGTGGGTTGCCCGTCTCAATCATGTGACCGTGGGGGGGGGGAAATGCTGTGCGAAGGTCGTAAGCACGAGGCCCGGTTGTATGTGCGAGGACCAGGTCCCAAAGGCCCTTTTTTCCCAGGGCCATTGTAACTTCACCCGGTCGCTTCAACAGATGTAGGAAGGAGAAATGCTTGTGCAACTGTTATTAAGTGCGAGGACCAGTCATAAGTGCGAGGACTGGGGCGCAAGGCCCTTTTCCCTGGCGCCATTTTGTCACTTCTCCCAGCCACCTCAACGGATGCTCGTTCAGTCAAGGATCACCGGTAATATTTTCGAACAAAATGGCGGATCTACGAAGACGACTAAGCCAGAAAGAGTTGCAGAAATTATTAAGAAAATATTGGAATGTGCTGAAATGAGTAGATTGACATTTGAAATTAGAGAACAAGAGGATAAACAATTGTATAAAATTTGGGACCTTTTCTATCAATGGTTGGATGATAAAATACAATAATAGAATATTTAGAATTTTAGATAATAATGAATATATAAAGAGATATTTTCTCTTCTTTTTTATTTGATATCACATCTATAAAATGTCTTCAGGATAGATTGGATATGATTATACTATTTGTTATAAAATAAATTAAGTAAATTCTAGTTATCTCGCAAAGTATGAATGAATAAAATCACAGTCAAATGATTGTTTGATAGTGATACTAGGGGATATAATTTCTGATGGATAATATGAGTTATTATGTAAGGTAACTGTAATTGAGACTACGAAATGAATGCACAAAAACTGGTAAACCAACCGACACACTGTTTGTATATTTATGAAAGAAAGCTGGAGGTTTTTATGTTTCGTTGGTTTTGTTTGTCTTTAAAAACTAATAAAATTGTTTTCCAAAACAAAACAAAAAAGCCAGAAAGAGTTGCTACTACCGGTTCACCCTGGTTCAGGCGAACCGGTTGCAAACCGGGAGCTAATTTTATGGCCGGTTCAGTGAAACCGGCAAATCCCACCCCTTGGCCGGCCCCGCCCTTCCACCCTTGTCCTCCCCTCCCTGGAGTCTCCAGGTGGTCCCTTTTGGGTCCCAGGTAAGTACAAGGCCCACACAAGAGACTCTGGGAGGACGAAAATTGGGTTAGGCAGAGAAGGGAAAACCAGCCTCCCTGGCTGCCTAAGCCGGAGATATTTTTAGGGACGTTCTCCTGTTCTCCGCTCCCTCTTCTTCCGAAGACCCCAGCAACAAGGCTAAATCGAGCTTGGAAATTCGAAACAGGGGTCAGGAGGGATGCTTGCCAACAGCCAGGAAAGCAGCCGACGGCTAGACACGGCCCGGGGGGGGCGGGGGGGGTGCGAGGTCGGGTGGCCAAACTGACCCCACTCCCTGCCCAAGCTGGACCGAAATCAAGGTCAAGGGAACAGGTTCAGAAATAAAGTCCTTTCTGTCCTGTTTCAACGGTCAATCTTACCTTTTCTCATTAAACCAAATTTCTCCTGTAATCACCGATTGGAGTATAATGATTTGAATCGAGATGAGATGAATAAAATTAAGAAAGTTAAAAGAGGGGAGAAGCTATGTAGAAAATGTAGAACAGTAATAAGACAGGGAAAGGAATATAAAAAGTGAGCAGGAATTTGAATTTGTGTCTGTACGAAGAGGTGTAACCCGGGATCAGGCTGCTTTCAAAAAAGATGTTTTTATGTTTTGTTTGTGTTTGTTTTTAAAAATCAGTAAAATTAAAAAATAATTATAAGCTGAAATAAAAACAGCGGTAAGAAATATATTGAATCAAAGTTGGGAAAAAAAAATCAGCGGTCGCCTAAATAAAGTGAATGAAAAAAATAAACTAAAAGGTAAAAAAAATATCAGTGGTAACCAATAAAGTGATTTTTAAAAAAAAATCAGCTGGGGGGGGGAAAAAAAGTCAGCAGTAACAAATAATGTGAATAGCAAAATAAAAGCCTGGAAAAAAAAATCAACGGTAACCAATAAAAGTGGATAAAAAAATAAATGAGCTGAAAGAAAACCAGCGGTAACAAATGTAGGGAATTAAAATAAGTAAATAAAAGCTGGAAAAAAAAATCAGTGGTGACATAAATAAAGGGAATAAAAAAATATGTAATAGATGAAAAAATCAGTGATAACAAAGAAAGCGGATCAATAAAAAATCAAAAATCAGTGGTAACAAAGTGAATTAAAAAATAAATAAAGGCTGGAAAAAACATCAGCAGTAACATAACTAAGTGAATAAAGCCAGCTACTTTTATTCACTTAACTGCTGATTGATTTATTTTTTATGATATTTTTGAACCTCCCAATCTTGGGCCTTTTTACAATGGAAAAAATAAATAAATCGGGACCCATCGAATTGTGTTTTTTTTTCCTTCCAGGAAGTTAAAAACTGTACCTAAGCAAAGCAGCTGTGAAACTAGGAAATAAATTTAATAATACATGATAACAAAAAATATAAATGAGGTTATGCCCCATTTTACAATCTTTTTTTGCCAATGGTTCTTAAGCGAATCCCTGAGGTAGTTAAGTGAATCCTGCAGTTGTTAAGTGAAACCTATTGACGGAAGCCGGTTGGGGAGGTCGTAAGTGGGGACCACGTGACCTTGGGATGCTACAACTTTTGTAAATACACACCAGTTGCCAGCTGCCTAAATTTTAATCACAGGACGGCAGGATATTGTGTTGGTCATAAGTGCGAGGACTGGTGGGTAGGTCCCTTTTTTGAGTGCCGTTGTAACTTGGAACAGTCACTAAGAGAATAGTTGTGAATTGAGGATTACCTGTAGTGTTTGTCACATGGGATTGAATCCTGAGCTCCTTAAACAAAATTGTGTCTCACACCCCTGGAGACAAGGCAGGATATCACGGGGGTGACTTTGGTCCTGGGTTCAAGTCTTGCTAAAAGCTTTAACGTTTCTTTTTATTGGTCCTACAGCACCGTTTGCACAATGGGTCTGGTCCTGCCCCTCTGGAGCGATGCTCTCATCCATTTGGACGGTGATGGGTAAGTTTATTGGGTGTCACCTGAGCTTAGGAGAACAGCTTCCCTTCCACCTGGGACCCCAGGTTTTCCCCCCTGACAGCAGCACTGGGTGAGTCTCCAGCTGTGTTTCCCAACTTCAGCCACTTTAAGAGGGGTGGGCTTCCACTCCCAGAATCCCCCAGCCAGCCTGCTTTAAGAGGAGTGGGCTTCCACTCCCAGAATCCCCCGGCCAGCCTGCTTTAAGAGGGGTGGGCTTCCACTCCCAGAATCCCCCGGCCAGCCTGCTTTAAGAGGGGTGGGCTTCCACTCCCAGAATCCCCCGGCCAGCCTGCTTTAAGAGGGGTGGACTTCCACTCCCAGAATCCCCCAGCCAGCCTGCTTTAAGGGGGGTGGACTTCCACTCCCAGAATCCCCCAGCCAGCCTGCTTTAAGAGGGGAGGGCTTCCACTCCCAGAATCCCCCAACCAGCCTGCTTTAAGAGGGGGGGGGCTTCCACTCCCAGAACCCCCCAGCCAGCCTGCTTTACTCGGTGGCTGGAAATTGAGCCCAGATTTTTCCTTCCGATGTTGTACAGCATTTTATTTTTCTATCCACCATGCAATTCAACACTTTTCCCAATAATTTTATTAAACACGGATCCCCTGTGGCTGACTGGGGAACTCTGGGAGTTGAAGTCCACCCATCATAGAGTTGCTAGCTTTGAGAACCAGCTCTTGCTTTTCCCGTTGTTGGTGCAAAACCCTTATTCCCGTGTCGAGGGACACCCAAGCTGTGTGCTGACCATACCCCACTTACTCCTCGGTGTCCAAAGAGATGCCGGACTGAGAGGGGGAAATTTCCATTTTTTCTGCCCGTAAATCCCACATCTCCAATTTATTGGGCATTTGCAGGAAGGGAATGGGAGGGTTCGGTTCTCCAGCCCAGGGGTCGCCAATCTTTTTGGACCTCAGGGAACCCCAAACTCATCATTTTAAATCCCGCAGACCAGAGACCCTGGGAAAATCCCCCCCAAAAAAGTCTGCAGGAAAATCCTCCACCCTGTTTTCCTACCGATCGATGGTTCTTTATTTGGGATCGCAGGATACCGTCTCCATCTCTGTTCTCAGGAGGAGAGAGAGAGAGAGAGAGAGAGGAGAGACTTTTGGCTTCATGCAAGGAAAACAGCAGAAGCCGCAGAAGTCTTTCTTTCTCTCCCCCAAACTCTACCAGAAATGAGCCTCTTGGAGCAGGAGGCCTTGCAGGGTCCCAAAGACTCATTTCTGGCGGAGTTTGGGGGAGAGAAAGAAAGACTTTGGCTGCTTTCCTTGCGTGCAGCCAAAAGCAGAAGAAGAAAGAAGCGGAAAGAAGCAGCCCAGTGGCCAGGCCAGGCACGTGGGGCAAGTTCGCCCTTTCCCTCCTCCCCTCATGTTGTTAGCAATGCAAGCGGCGCAGCCTTGTGTTCCCGCGCAGCCTGCAGACCACCAAAATTTTCTCACAGACCCCCAGTGGTCCCTGACCCACTGGTTGGCGACCCCTGTTCCAGCCAAAGAAATGGAATGAGTTCCTTTCTTTTAAAAAAATAATGTATTGATTGACAGTGTCCTGGTTTCTTCCTTATTGCCAAATTCTGGGAACGGACACGCTCGGGCCTCGGGTTCTTCAGGTCGTGCCAGTCTCCCCAAAAAATCAAGGAAGACAAGTTGAGCTTCTTCTAAAAGGAGATTATTCTCCTTTCGTGTTTCCCACCTCTGGATTGAAATCTTTGCCCGCTAAAATGGATTATTTGCACCATAAAAACCTAAATTCTTGGGAACTGTTAAGGAGACGCTGTCTTCCCCCACTTTCTCATACAGAAGCTCTCTCAACCGCTCCTCTGGAATGCAGCCCCTCCCTCCTGGGAATCCAGACTCCAGTCCACGACAGTGAAGGGGGGGGGAAAAGGATAAACTTTCCCAACGTCCTTAAATTTAAGCTCAATTGTTTGAACCGCCCAAGAGGAAATTGTCTTTTTAAAAAGATTTTTTTTAAGCGTTCGGAGGTTTCAATCCCTCTTTATCTTGTCTTGCAGGGGCTTCAGCGTTTCTACCGACAATCGGATTCACATCTTCAAACCGGTGTCCGTGCAAGCCATGTGGTGAGTCCCTTTCTGCCTCTCCGCCTTTGCTAAAATCCCGCTAAACGAAGATTGGACTGCCATTTGTCAGAAAGGGTGTAGGGTCTCCTGCTTGGGCGGCGTGGGTTGGGCTAGATGACCTACAAGGTCCCTTCCAACTCTGTGTAAATCTGTTAATCTGAGGCCACAACATATAAATCCCTTGGTCTGGAAGGACCTGTAACCAGGTGACCCCGAAGAGTTTTCCAACCGGCGGCGGTCCTTTCTCGGTGGAGCGGATACCCACAGCTATACTGCTCTTGAACATGGAGGTTCCATTTCAGTGTTGAGTCTTGTGGATGGCCGATCCCTGGACTGACAAAAGTCTTATTGCTGCTCAGGTCCTTTTGAGGTTATCTGGATGCTGTTGAGCGAGAAGCATTTTTAATTTATTGAATATTTATTGCTTTTGGCTTGGGTAAAACCCACTTCTCCTTCTACTGGGTTTCCCTGATAATAAGACCCTGTCTTATATATTTTTTGCCACCAAAAAAAAGCACCAGGTCTTATTTTCGGGGGATGTCATCCACTGATTAACCTCACTTGTGTGCGTCGCCCCCCCCCCCCGGCCTCCTTTTCGCTGTCAGAGGCCTTCAGGAACTACTTCTGCGGCTGACAAGACTTTCACAACTACAGACCTTTTACCAGGCTTGGAGAGTTGCCAGGCCGATATCTTCCAAACGCCACACTGTAGCAGACAATACTTGGCAAGAAGTCACGAACAGATCTTCGCACTAATTAAAGGAACTAATTGTCTCCTGCAAACCCCACTCCCCTTTTGATCCTCTTTTAATCCCTCTGGGAGGGGCCATTCACCGTCCACTTGTGCCTTTACTCCCAAGTCGACCTTTGTTCCTTAGCTGTTCCTTTCCTCTGGCAGCTCTGTGCATGCGCACATAGGGAACAGGCTCCAGCTGTTCTTCTTCCCTACTGATCTCCGGCTCCGAAGTCAGCTGATAACTGTTGGATGTCCCTGGCCCCATCTCTGCCTCTTTTTCCTCAGCTGTTCCCTTCTTCTGGCAGCTCTGTGCATGCGCTCACTGGGAACAGGCTCCAGCTGTTCTTCTTCCCCACTGATCTCCGACTCGGAAGGCAGCTTATAACTGTTTGGAGGGTCCTGGCACTATCTCTGCCTCCGATGCAGAGCCCTCCGACACGGAGTCTTCTCCAGACTCCAGGACTGGCCCATGTTCCTCCCCAACCTCCTCACTGTCCGAGTCGGCCGCCAGCTCCGCTGGCCACTGGCGGGCCACAACAGCTTTACCTGGGTTGAGGTCGCCTGCTATTTTTGTGTTCCAAGAAAGCCAGCAGTTGAGCTGAGTGACCTTCGTGGAAATTAGGAGAATTTCACCCCTTCCAAATCTCCCTCTCCCTTCGCAGCCAGCTTTCCTTTCCTTGGCACGGATCAGGTTGGCATCTGTGCGCGGCCAGGAGCCCAGTCCGTGCCAAGGAGCTTAGCATGCTTGTTGTGTTTATGTGATGTTTTCCATGCTTTCCTTCCCACCCCACCCCCACCCCTTCCAAATCTCCCTCTCCCTTCGCAGCATAATCGAGGCTGTCGAGGGAAAAGCAGGGTGGCTGGCACTGATGAGGTTACCTAGTTGGGTCATGAAACGTCCGCAAGAAAGCAAACAGGCTCAGAGAGCACCAAGGAACCCACAGTCTCCTTCCTTCCTTCCCTTTCATTCGTTCCTTCCTTCCCTTTCATTCCTTCCTTCCTTCCTTCCTTCCTTCCTTCCTTCCTTCCCTTCCCTTCCCTGATGATGTTCTCTAGTGGGTCATGAAAAATCTGCAAGAAACCCATCCAGCTCAGAGATCACCAAGGACCCAACTATCTTCCTCTCCTTCCTTCCTTCCTTCCTTCCTTCCTTCCTTC